CAACAACTATATTATTCTATACTGAATTCACGAATGTTAATAGTTAAGGATCGCCAAAAAATATCAAACGATTTGACAATTTATGAGTGTCCGTCAGTTGTGCGACATGAATTTATTAAGTCATCAATTCCGACTTTCTAGCATCTGGTAAACATTATTTGATATCTTAGACTGTTCTCCTTTATCAATTTATCAAATTATGCAAGACTTGTAGGCGTAGCATTTCTTGTTTCTCTTTTCACAATAACCTGGCGCAACTAATTCAGTGAGGTTGAATGAACCATCAAAAAAATTGATACAACATTTTATTATGCCTGCCTGTAATAACAATTGAATCATCAGAAAATCGATACAATATTCATTGCGTCTATGTCTCGACTACAATAATATAGTAACGCGAGCGCAACAAATTTAGTAATTGAGAATACGTAGTCACATCGCAAGGAGAGTTGCTTAGAATTTAAAAATAACGTCAAGATCCAGACCATTTTCACGTACGAGTTTCAGCAACAAACTCCTGTTTTCCTGTTCGGCATGCAGAGTGGATGGATTTGCGTAATATCCACCAGGAAATGTGTGCTATTGTAAGTGTCATTCGTAATGTGCCGGAAGATTAAAGCTGCATCGCACCGCGATGAGTAATGAATGTGTAATTCAGTTAAGAATTACAGACCCAGTGAAGGCTGTAATCATGACAATTGGTGGACGAGGTAGCCTACTGCAATGGTAAGCGTGTTGTGCGAGTCCCCCCCCCCAAAGGTCACTCATCTTAAGTGAAAGTCTATATGGTAAAAATCGGGCTCGGGTTTTTTTTATAGAAATGGATGTGACTACGGCACCAGGACATACTCACAATTCATCACCATGATTTATTGTACAAGTCCATGGATAATTGACTATAGGCGCGAGTTTGTTCTATTTTCATTTAGTCGCAAGATCGGAGAGTTGTCCAACCGAAGCAACTTAGAGACCGTAACCACGAGTGAAAAGATTTAGCTAACTTAGCTAATCGGAGCTGATCAGTTTACTTTAGGCCGGAAATATACAATATCTACAAAGCAACGAAGAAAACCAATCAGCAACTTCATTGAATAGCTAAACAAAAAATTCACGCAAACTTACCATTAGAATAAATCAGGCGCCATCGTCATCAATACAATACAATGACCGAAAGCCCACAAAACGAAAGAAAAACAAAAGAATTAGACAACTCGAAGCAAAGCTCATAATTATACCAATCCAAACACAAAGTAGCAATATTTAAAAACACAGTTTGGGTTATCACTTTTTGATCGCGAAAGAACAATCTGTGCTCAGTTCCTGATCACATGATAACAAACCAAAAAGAATGCACAAATCATATGTGTGCTGGCAACTATTAAAGGTTGATTTTAGGGGTAAGAGTGGTGGACAAGGTTATATGTAAAATTTCCTGACATTCTATATTAGTGCTTCAAGCCAGATTTTGACATCCCCATATCTCGCGTTTTCACATTTTTCGTTTTCTTTTGTTGGATTTTGTTTGCCAGGCTGATTAAAAATTTGCGCATCCTTATTGGTTTGTTATGCGCATGTGATCAGGAACTGAGCACTATCGCCTTTTGAGCTGGTTAGAAGGATATAAAATATATCATACTCTTCCTTTTTTCAATTATAACACATGTTATTTTAAGATATTGGGATAATCGAGGTGTGTGTTATTTTAACGTATTGGGAAAATCGAGGAGACATGTAATCATTTTTTACTAGATTTAGTTACAAAAAAGCACAATCATTAGCGTTAATAAATAAAAAAACTTCCCCTATTTTGCCAACAACCATGTCTGATAAATTTGAATCACTGTGCGAATTTCTGAGAAATGTTCCATTAACTCAAATTACTAACTCGAGCATACTATATCAATTGTGGAGTCTTAACGACATCCAAACGGAAAAAAATGATTATAAATGTATCATTAGACTATTACATAAAGTGGAAGATGAGGATGTGAGCAACGACCGTAAAGAACATCTTAGATTATTGCAAGATAATAATCAGGTAATTTTTTATAAATAATCTATTTATTATTTTGAATGATGAATATAAGCTATCAAGGTGATCGAGTGAATGGCATTTAAGATGTGATCGAGTAAGCAGCCAGCAAGAATCTTTTTCATTGCATCCTGTTAATGTGCGATGTGATCGAGTAAGCAGCAAGTGAGAATCTTTTTCATTGCACCTTGTTAATGTGTGATGCGATCGAGTAAGCGGCAAGCGAGAATCTTTTTCATTGCACCCTGTTAATACGATCGCGTAAGCAGCAAGTGAGAATCTTTTTCGTTGCACCCTGTTAATGTGCGATGCGATCGAGTAAGCGGCAAGCGAGAATCTTTTTCATTGCACCTTGTTAATGTGTGATGCGATCGAGTAAGCGGCCAGCGAGAATCTTTTTCATTGCACCTTGTTAATGTGTGATGCGATCAAGTAAGCAGCCAGCGAGAATCTTTTTTGTTGCACCTTGTTAATGTGCGATGCGATCGAGTAAGCGACCAGCGAGAATCTTTTTCATTGCACCTTGTTAATGTGTGATACGATCGAGTAAGCGGCCAGTGAGAATCTTTTTCATTGCACTCTGTTATATAGATAACGAGAATCTGATGATTAGTTTGATCTCGTACACAAAATGATAGTTTCTGAAGTTTTATTAATACACTTTTTTTTTTCTGAAGATACGATATTGCAGAAATGAGCTGATATCGTTGATGGATGCAGGTTTATTGAAGAAACAATTCAAAAAAGACAATTGGAGAGAGACCGCGAATAATATAGCAATCGTAAAAACAATGCTACAGGTATTTTACTTATATACAATCATACAATCAAGCTATTTATTTAATCAAGTGTTTACTCGTTACTTGATTTGATCTGTTAGAGTGAAAATACACCAATTCATAAACATATTCTCAAAGAATTGAACAAAATAAACATTACTGATTTGACATTCAATGACCCATTGTGTAATGGAATTATTGATATCAGTTCTAATAGATTTCAAATTAACGAAAGCGATTATAAAATTCTTACGGTATGTATTGGTTTTAAATTTTAACTCTATTTGCCATTGAAGATTTTTTTCTAAATAACAATTTCTACAGGGAAAAAATGTTAATGTTAGAAATTTAAGCCATGATCCACTAATAAAAAAGTTTGCGAAGATTTTCAAATACGAAAAAAGAAAGAAATTAAACATTATAATAAATTCGTATTGATGTCGACGACAGAAAAAGTAACTTATGATCAGTGGACAGAAAACGAATACGACCGAGAACGTATAGCAAGAGACATTACTAATATCCTCTTGCAAGAACTAAAATATAATTCATTTCAAAGAATATCTCATGGTTCAGAACATGATCTTGTTGAATTGATAGG